ACATATTCTTTGCTGCAATCAACATGTCATCAACACAAAGCAGCAAATATATAAACGAATTATCTAGAAGCTTTCAGAAGTAGACACAACTGTCATACTTGGATCTACAATATTGAATGCTCGTCATAAAGGATTCAAATCTCTTATACCATTGTCTAGGAGACTGTTTCAACCAGCTAAAGACTTTTTCAATAAACACACATGGTCTTCCTTTCCTGTAATTTCAAAATGTGCTGGTTGATGCATATAAATTTGTTCTTCTAAATTACCATGAAAAAATGTTGTTTTAACATCAAGTTGCTCCAATTCTAAATCATGCATAGCAACTAAAGCAAGCAAGACACAAATAGAACTATGTTTCACAACAAGAGAAAATACTTCATTGAAATTAATTCCGTGTACCTGACTATATCCCTTTGCAACTAGCCATGCCTTGTATCGAGTATCTTCTATTCCATGCATACCTTCCTTTTTCTTAAAGACCCATTTACAGCCAACAATCTTCTTTCCTTTAGGCTATCTAACAAGCTCCGAAGTTTGGTTCTTGCAAAGAGACTCTATCTCCTCATTCATAGCCACTAACCACTTAGCAAAGTCATCTAAAGAGATAGCTTCTGAATATGATGACAACTCACCATTTTCTTCCATCACTGACAAAGCATAAGCCACAATATCTGCTTCAACAAACCTTTTAGGTGGTTGAATCATTCTTCTTGGTCTGTCTCTAGCAATGTTGTACTCTTGATCTCCTTCTTGTTGAATTTCCTCAACAGGCTGCTGAATTGAAGATGATTAAGAAAGAACGATAAAAACATGCTGAGTAGTAGTAGATTTTGAAATTTCTAGCTCCACCTCCTTTTTTGTATCCCAATTGTTAGGAGAATCTTTTCCATAATGAAACATAAAAGACTCATTAAAAGTAACATCCCTACTAATAAGGAATTTAGGAATTTTAGGATTAGGACACCATAACCTATATCCTTTCACACCATCTACATAACCAAGAAAAATGCACTTCTTGTCTCTTGGCTCCAACTTTCCTTCATTTACATGAGCATAAGCAAGACAACCAAATATTCTCAAATTAGAATAGTCTGTAGGTTTACCAGACCATACCTCCTCTAGTGTTTTGCACTTAATGGTTGTGCTAAGAGATCGATTCACCAACCAACATGCAGTATTAATGGCTTTTGCCCAAAACTCTTCACCCAAACCTGCATTTGACAACAAACATCGAGTCTTCTCAATCAATGTTTTGTTCATACGTTCTACAACTTCATTTTGCTGTGGTGTGTTCACAGTTGTGTGGTGTCGTACAATGCCTTGATTCTCGCAGAACTTGTTAAACTCTTCATTACAAAATTCAAGACCATTGTCAGTCCTGAATCTCTTGATCTACTTTCCAGACTGTTTCTCAACCTAAAACTTCCATTGCTTAAAGGTTGTGAACACCTCACTTTTCTGCTTCAAGAAGTACACCCAAACTTTCTTGGAAAAATCATCACTAAAAGTGAGTAGATAGTGAGCACATTTACCTTTGGAAGGAGTTGTAGGTGGCCCTCATAGGTCTGAATGAATGTAATCCAGTGTTCCTTTGGTCCTGTGAATGCTATCTTGAAACTAACCATTTTCTGCTTCCTAAAGACACAGTGTTCATATAACTCCATATTTCCAATACTCTGGCCAAAGAGAAGTCCACTCTTGCTCAATTCTACCATCCCTCTTTCACTCATATGGCCCAGCCTCATGGGCCATTGACATCTGATCTGACATTGATGATGAAGAAATTGCAATTGTTCCAGTGACTGTGACACCCTATAAAAAATATAAATTGCCAACTTTCTTCCCTTTCATCAAGAGAATAGCACTTTTACTGATCTTCATTACCACCTTCAGTTGTATACCTACACCCTTTTGAATCAAGCGTGCCCAAAGAGATGAGATTTTTCTTTTAAGTCAGGAACATGTTTGACATCCAACAAGGTTCTAATAACTCTGTCATGCATCTTTATTCAAATTGTTCTTATCCCAACAGTTTTGCATGAGGCATTATTCCTCATTAAAACAACTCCACCATCAATTGATTCATATGTGGATAACCACTCCCTATTGGGACACATGTGGTAGGAACAATCCAAATCAAGGATTCATTCATCTTGAGATCCATCACAACTATCAGTTACCATAAGCAAATTCGAAACATTTCAATCTACAACAGTATCAGCTTCAATAGATTTTTCTTTGCCTTGTTTATCTTCAATGAAACTTTTATTTTTATTTTTCAACTTGTAACAATATTTCTTAATGTGTCATTGTTGATGACAGTAATGCCAAATTTTATTACTTTTAAATTTGGAACTTGATCGAGACCTATTTTTGCCATTATTTAGATGTCTATTATGTGTTCTCCCTCTAACAACTAGACCAACACCATAATCATTGCTACTAGTTGATGTTAATTGTCCATCAATCTTTTCCTTATTCTTTAATTTGGTTTTAACATCTTTAGTAGAGATTATATCTCTACCATAAATCATGGTGTCTCTAAAATGTTTGTATGAGGGTGGCAAAGAACATAATAATAATAGGGCTTGATCCTTATCATCAATCTTGACATCAATTTTTTCTAAGTCCGTAATAATTGAATTAAATTCATCAGTATGAGACTTGATAGACATACCTTTAGCCATACGCAGTGTGTATAATGATTGCTTCAAACTAACTCTATTGGTGAGTGATTTGGTCATGTGTATGCTCTCCAATTTGGACCACAATAATGCCACCGTCTTTTCATTGAGGCATTCCCACAAAACTTTATCAGACAAATTCAACCGGATCTCTAACAAGGCTCTTTGATCCAGCTTTTCCCAATCTGTATACGAAAGTTTCTGTTTAGCCCAATCTCCATATGTCATGTCATCAGGTTTTGACGGCCTTCCTTCTAAAGCAACATCAAGTCCTTGTTGTACAAGAACAGTAGTCATACGGAGTTGCCCAATACTAAAGTTGTTGTTGCCATCAGACTTCTCGATCTTGTTTGTTACCGATATTGTAGTGAACATCGTAAATTCGATCAAAAAATGGTCGTGGCTTTTATACCAATTTGTTGTGACAGACCCAACCCCACTGATAAAATTAACAGCAAGAAAAACACAGGGAAAATACTAACACACACAATACACACGATAATTTACGTGGTTCGACTTTTTAGCTTACGTCCACGGGCAAAGATAAAAGAAGAATTTCACTAACAAAATGGAGTATACAACATTTGATGAAACTCTCAATCCCAAATCCCAAATACACCCAATATCTCTCACACTCTCACACACTCTATTTTCTCTCTAACTCAAGCTCTCTGTCTCTAGTGTTTGTATTGCTTGAGAATGTGTGTGATGATCTTTTTCCCTCAAAATGCACCCATATTTATAGTGAAGGGAAGGCCAAAACTTGTCAAGATTTTAGGTACAAAATCCGGAGTGTGAATTTGTGAAGCCACCAAATAAGTATGTAAAAGTGTGAAGCTAAAAAACCACAGTCGCATAAGTTTAAGTCTAACGCTACTGTTTTGGTCCAAGCTTCATGCAATCCTGATGGTTGATTCAAGGTTCATCTAATGGCTGAAATTTCCCTGAAAAGTCAAAGGTATAAGAGAGGGCAACTCTCCAATTAAAGCTACAATGAACAAATCAGTTTTTTCTCTTCTTCTTCGACTCTGTAAAATTCTGCTTTGCTGGGTTCTTTAGTGTAATCTTGGTGCAACCAATTGGGTTGTTCAGTGAAGGTGGTGTTTCCTTCACAGGTAGAGAAGCTTAGTGAGTCTTTCTTTTGGGTTTAAAGGTTACAGTAAAAGAGTTGAGTGATAGATTAGCAAAGGGATTGGTAGTGTTTGAGAATCTGAAATTGTACTTTGTAAACGCTATTGATCTTTTTAGTGCAGCGAGTCTTAGTGTTTCGGAGCTCAACGTAAACGTAGCTTGCTCAAATCTTGAGTAAGTGAACTATGGTAAACTCGTGTGTTTACTTGTTCGATTTCTTTTGTAATTAATTGGTTGATTAGTCTTTAATTAGTCCCAAATCGCAACAAAGTTGAGAATTTTGAAATGTTGGGAGACATGAAGCTAAAATTTTGCTTCCAATTGGTGGCATATATTACCACCAAAAAAGTTTATCTTCATCAAGAGAAAGACGTGTGAACCTGTGAAGAAAAATGCATGGCATTTATTACCATGTGACAAAGTCTTGTGTGAACAAAATCTTTGACTATTCGATAACCATTTAAGCCACTTTTGCCACAGTAGATATATTGGGGTTTTTGTAACCTCCAGAGTTCCTTGTGTATTGAATTTTTGCCCTCCGTTACACTAAAGTCCTAGGATATATAGCAGAACACAGAATTTTTTTTTTTTTTTTGGCATATCAATTCTCTTCCTTGTTTGGAACTAGATTGTGTTCGTAATTTAAGTATTTTGCCCTCCGTTACACTAAAGTCCAGGATATATAGCAGAACACAATATTTTTTTTTTTGGCATATCAACTTCTCTTCCTTGTTTGGAACTAGATTGTGCTCGTAATTTAAGTAAGCCCTAAATTTTTAGTTGGTGTCAATCTTTAAACAGATTTTCTTTTGATTATTTGGGAAAGTTCAGTGCTTTTTTTCAGTTATAGAAATTATGGGTTTGTTTCAATATAGTAGAGCCTTGTATTTTTGTCTACTTCTTGTGTTCAAAACTTGTATTGCTGGCTCTCAACATGTTGGCAAGATACATCCTGGGTTTGAGGCATCCCACAGTGACTGCGTTGATAAGAATGGCCTATTCCTGCGATCTAACAACTCGGTTTTCGCTTGTGGATTTTACACTGCCTTGGATGCTCAATTCTTTTTGCTGGTTGTCATTCACATTAGTAGTGCCAAAGTAGTTTGGACTGCTAATAGAGACAAATTGATTAGAGATTTTGATAAGTTTGTGTTTGAGAATAATGGGAATGCTTATTTGCAAATGGCAAATAGTGTAGCTTGGTCCTCATATACTACTGTGCAGAAAGTTTCATCCATGGAATTGCAGGACTCAGGCAATTTGGTGTTGCTTGGAGAGGATGGAAGTGTTGTTTGGCAGAGTTATAGCCATCCCACCAATACTCTTTTACTCGGCCAGGAGTTTTCGGAAGGAATAAGACTTACAAAGTTTTCCCAGCAGCAACAACATGATTGTTTTTCTCGAAATAAAGTCTGGTGATTTGGTGTTGTATGCAGGCTATCAGACTCCACAAACCTATTGGTCCTTGGCGAATGATAGCCAAAAAACAAATAGTAGTGTTGGTGGCAAGGTCCATTCTGCATATCTGGAGTCCAATGCGTGGAATTTCTATGATCAGAATAAGAAATTGCTTTGTCAGTTCGTCTTCACTAAAAATACTAATCCGAATGCTACCTGGGCTGCCATTTTAGGCTCAGATGGGACGATTACGTTTTCTGATCTTCACAAGGGAAATCAAGTTGCTTCTGAGGCTATCAAGATACCCCAAAATTCTTGTAGCAATCCTGAGCATTGTTCTCCCTATTATGTGTGCTCTCTAGAGGGTTGGTGCAAGTGCCCTTGGTTTCTTCAATCTTTCAATTGTAAACCTCGAATTGCATCAACCTGTGATGGCTCCAAGGATTCAGCGGAGCTTTTCTCTGCCGGCGAGGACTTTTATTATTTTGCAATTGGGTTTGTTAAACCCCTTTCATTCAATCTTTAGGCTTGCAAACAAGCTTGCCTTCGTAACTGCTCCTGCTCTGCACTGTTCTTTGGACGTAATAAAAAATGCTATCTATTTGATCAAATAGGTACTTTGCTCGCTCTTATGACAGTTTGAGGGTTATATTTCATATGTGAAGATTGTGAATGGAACCAGTGATGGAAGTGGAAACAAGGGAAAGAAGACTCTATTAATTGTGTTCATGGTTATTGCAAGCATAATTGTGATTTCTGTTCTACTTTATCTGGGACTATGGTACCGGAGAAAGAAGAAATCAATGAAGTTTTCTCAAGAAAACTTTGAAGAAGACACTTTCTTGGACAGTTTTTCCGGCATGCCGACTCGCTTCAGTTATAATGATCTTAGTAAGGCAACTAAAAGCTTCTCTACGAAGGTTGGTCAAGGAGGGTTTGGCTCTGTTTATCTAAGTGTGCTACCACGCAACCCAATTGGCTGTTAAAAAGTTGGAGGGCTTTGGCCATGGGAAGAAGGAGTTCGGAGCTGAAGTAAGTACAATTGGGATGGTACATCACCTGCATTTGGTCAAACTCAGAGGCTTCTGCGCTGAGGGGAGTCACAGACTTCTTGTTTATGAGTACATGAGCAATGGTTGTTTGAATAAATGGATTTTCAAGATTAATGAGGAAAGTCAGTTGTTGAGTTGGAACACAAGACTTAATATTGCATTGGGTACAGCAATGGGTCTAGCCTATCTGCATTCAGAATGTGAATTAAAGATTGTCCATTGTGACATAAAGCCTGAAAATGTTCTTCTTGATGATAATTTCAATGCTAAAGTTTCAGATTTCAGTTTGGCTAAGCTGATGACACATGAAGAAAGCCGCGTCTATACAGCACTGCGAGGAACAAGAGGTTACCTTGCACCAGAATGGATTAAAGACAACCCGATTTCAGAGAAGACTGATGTATACAGCTATGGTGTGGTCTTGCTCGAGATCATTAGTGGCCGGAGGAGTTATGATCCAGGGGATGATTCAGAGAAATCCCATTTCCCATCTTATGCCTTCAAGACGTTGGAAGGAGGAAAACTAAGCGAAATCCTTGATTCGCGGCTTGACATCGATGAAAATCATGAGAGTGTTGTCAATTTAATAAAAGTTGCCTTGTGGTGCATACAGGATGTGATGCATTTGAGACCACCTATGACTAAAGTAGTGCAAATGCTTAAAGGTCTCTGTGCTGTACCTCAGCCCCCGACCCCTTCTCAGTTGAATTCCCAGGGATGCTCTAGTTTTGTCAAATGGAGTAGTGAAGAAGGTACAGTACTAGAACTGGTCGATGCCGATAACGGTGGAGTTATATCAGAAGTTCAAATATCAGGCCCCAGATGATGAAAGCAATCATTATATACAGATGAAGAATATCCATGATGTTTTCAGCTTTCAGCTGTGATAGCATCATGAACCACCAGACTCTCTAGCATAGTTTTGTAATGCATTTGTCCTCAAAATTTGTTCTGTGCTTGTATGCTAAATTTTTAGAAATTGCAATATTCTAATCGACCTTGTCTTTAACCTGCATGATCATGAAAACTCAAAAGCAATCTGTTTTTAAGTATGAACTTTGAAGATGAAACAATTTGAAACATTTCCCAGAAAATTAATGGGAACGGTTCAATTAATCTGGAAATTCCAGGATTTATTTTTACACTTCATATTATTGTTGCCACACTGTGTACTACTTGTACATATGTTCCATTTTCTGGTTTTGAACCCTAAAAAATAGTTGATTTGGGTGACATTAACAAGTCTTACTAGTTGAAATGATCACTACCCTCTAATCAAATTCTAAACATCATGCCACCAGAAATTTATCCAGCCATTTTTGCTTTCAACTTGATATATTTAGAGATTTTTGATGTTTGATATTGAAGCCTAATTTGACCAGAAATAGCGAGTTTATGTAATCACGAGAACCCCTTGTTTCAATTTCCATTTTTATCTTGTAATCTTCTAGTTCTACATTATTTATTTCATCTACTGAATTGGAGAATTTCCTAAGTGGACGGTTTTTTTAATCAAGTCTTTCCTGGTCTTTAAACCTGCTCCCAATGAAAAGGAAATTTTCAAGAAGTGGGAATTTGATAATTCAACCTTTTTTTGACATTACTGAGTTACATTTTAAGTAAACAAGTCAAACAATAAGTATTATTTCAAATAAAAAATATATAAATTATTAATATAAACATTGAAATAAAACCTACTAAATATAGATTTAACCAATAAACTACATTATTGTTAATATAAAAGTGGTAACTTTATGTTTATTAATGTTCGGCTGAAATAAAGATGATCACTAAAGCTTTCATCCAATTGATAATTTTAAGGTCAAGAAACATTAATTGAAATATGCGTAAACTGATTTTGATACTTTTAATCATAAAAAATATATATATTTGGCTGAAATTTAAAGACCAATTATCTAATTTTAGTTTATATATTAATATTAAAGAGGGTGCATGGGTCTACAAGTTCCGGACCCAAATCGTTACTTAAAATAATACCCCTTTTCGTTTTCGTTTGAAAGTTCAATACAATTTTACAATCAAGAGTTGAACTTTGGTGACTGAATTAAATACAAAGTCTGTTTCTTTCCAAACAAACTTGACTCGTCAAACACACGTTTCTGCACCATATTACTAATATACCCATTGTTGTTAAAAAAACTTGTTAGTCACAACAACCAGATATATCCAATCGACCATGGTTATATTGGATATTATGTGTTTGTGATTATAAATAATCAATTATGTATGGATTGACGAATCCATGATGTAAGAAAACACAAGATTTTTAAAGTGATTTGACAGTTTAAAATCAAGCCTACGTTCACTACTATATTACTGTTTATGTTTGTTGTATATGAAAAGTGATTACAATGAAGAAACACGTAATAATGAGTTGAGATTCTCTCTTAATGATTTCCTATACTTGTATGAATAATAATTGATCAATCCCCCAAAATAAAGGTGAGACCTCCCTTTTATACACATCATCTGACAATGGTTAGGAGTTGGTATTACGAGGTGGATTACATGCATAATCCCCCATAACCTGGATTTGAGTGAGTCTCCACCTATGCTTAAGTTAGAACACTCATGCTTAAGATTAATGAACTTATTGATTAAGTCATCTGTTGTACAGGAGTAGCATGTGGGATAATCCTAACCTCTAGATCTTGATATGGTTTATAGACAGGTAGCATGAATCGAAAAATGATGCACAACACCCATCAACATTATTAAGTATGCTACTATTAGTGGTTTCAATATGTTATGAGTAATTTTTAGCCTTTGTTTAAGTCTTTATAACTATAATACTAATCTTTATTTGCTCTATTATGAATGAAATACTCAATTAATATATATTTTGCATCTAATAAAGAGGATAATAATGGCATTTCACAATCAACTTTACAGCTACATTTCCACAAAGGGTCAATGGTGAAAATGAAACCACACCAACCAAATTAATTAATCTTGGGTTGGAGCGTTGGCTTTAGAAATATTGACACACAGCTTGCATTCAGCAAACAGATACAAATAAACAAAGTGGGGTTAGTCTTCCATTCATGATTTGATGTCTGTGCATTTGTCAGTTTCCATGACCCCAATTTTGTGCATAACGTTTCCTATGGGTAATGACCACTTCCACCATAAAGCCATCCAAATTCTCTCGTCAAATGACACAAGATTTTTGTTGATAAGGTTCGTGTCACTTAATCATCTAATATTTTTTAATTTCTATTCTAACATTATAGATTAATGGAATTAGTTAATTTAATCACCAATAGATGACTTCACAGTTAACTAAAATTTTTGGATATATTAATCAAGAGATCCTATTACTAATACCAGGATCTTGGGAATTAGTTAAGATACTGATAAACTAACTCAAACACCCTTCCAGTCTACTATTGTTCATGTCTTGTCTTGAAACATAGATGTAGTTAACCAAAACATGATCTACTAGGTTGTTAATAGGAGTAATTATTTGGCTGTCAACTTCAGAGTTTCAAAGGATTAGTTGAGCTGCTGACAAGCTGGTCCAGACACTCTTCAAGCAAGGGCAGATCCAACACTTATTGAGGGTGGGTCATGACCCACTCTCAATTTTTTAAAAGAAATACTAATATGTATAATTTCTGGATTTTAGTCCACCCTAATAGAAATATTAATGGACAAAAATATTAATGTATAATTAATTTTTATTTTGCCCCACCTAAACAAAAATTTCTAAATCTGCTACTGTCTTCAGGTCTACTATTGTTCATTTCTTGTCTTGAAACATAGATGTAATTAACCGAAACATGATCCATTAGGTTACTATTAAAGGTGGCTACTGAAGAGACTTACTTTGTCTTCAATTTCAGCGGAGGTTAGTTGAGATGCTGGCAAGACACCCTTTAGGTTTACTATTGTTCATGTTTTGTTTTGAAACACAGATGTAGTTAACCAAAACAGGAGTGGATAAATTTTCTGTTTTTTTATTAGTTGTTCTTTGAAGAGTGGAGAAATCTGTTCCTTGTCAATATTCACGTGAAAGAAAGGGCTCCAAGACAAAACATATGAACAGTGAAATAATAAAGGAAGACACGCAGGAGACACGAGAAGCAAAAGAGTTGCAGCTAATCCTCCATTGCAGTACAGGAAAAAAATCCTCAGAAGAAGATAAAAGAAAGGGAAAAAATATAGGTGGATGAAATTAGTTAAGCGTAATAAAGTCTGTGTTGGGTAGTCAAATTTCAGTGTACCTGCCCTACCAACTCCTTGTCTCTGTCTCTATCTGTATATAAACCTTGTTGAGTGACAATATGAGCAGGTAACTTTGTCACTTACACCTTTTGCTTCTTACATCAAGAAAAAATCCAAAAAACACATTCAATTACATAAAACCCTTCTGTTTCTGTAACTGAAATCAAGACATGAGGTCAGTCTCCTTCTGTTACTTTTTGTTTCTTGGCTCGTTTTTCATTTGTTCTCCAGTAATTTCTGTTTGTATTGAAACCGTTGTTTAACGACTGAAAAATTAGGCCTTTTGTTCATTTCTAATTCTTTCTTGCTAATTTTTGCTTAGATTCAGAATTGTTTTTTTCTTTCTCAATTGCCACCCTGTTAAATCATCATTTAGAAAGNACTAATACCAGGATCTTGGGAATTAGTTAAGATACTGATAAACTAACTCAAACACCCTTCCAGTCTACTATTGTTCATGTCTTGTCTTGAAACATAGATGTAGTTAACCAAAACATGATCTACTAGGTTGTTAATAGGAGTAATTATTTGGCTGTCAACTTCAGAGTTTCAAAGGATTAGTTGAGCTGCTGACAAGCTGGTCCAGACACTCTTCAAGCAAGGGCAGATCCAACACTTATTGAGGGTGGGTCATGACCCACTCTCAATTTTTTAAAAGAAATACTAATATGTATAATTTCTGGATTTTAGTCCACCCTAATAGAAATATTAATGGACAAAAATATTAATGTATAATTAATTTTTATTTTGCCCCACCTAAACAAAAATTTCTAAATCTGCTACTGTCTTCAGGTCTACTATTGTTCATTTCTTGTCTTGAAACATAGATGTAATTAACCGAAACATGATCCATTAGGTTACTATTAAAGGTGGCTACTGAAGAGACTTACTTTGTCTTCAATTTCAGCGGAGGTTAGTTGAGATGCTGGCAAGACACCCTTTAGGTTTACTATTGTTCATGTTTTGTTTTGAAACACAGATGTAGTTAACCAAAACAGGAGTGGATAAATTTTCTGTTTTTTTATTAGTTGTTCTTTGAAGAGTGGAGAAATCTGTTCCTTGTCAATATTCACGTGAAAGAAAGGGCTCCAAGACAAAACATATGAACAGTGAAATAATAAAGGAAGACACGCAGGAGACACGAGAAGCAAAAGAGTTGCAGCTAATCCTCCATTGCAGTACAGGAAAAAAATCCTCAGAAGAAGATAAAAGAAAGGGAAAAAATATAGGTGGATGAAATTAGTTAAGCGTAATAAAGTCTGTGTTGGGTAGTCAAATTTCAGTGTACCTGCCCTACCAACTCCTTGTCTCTGTCTCTATCTGTATATAAACCTTGTTGAGTGACAAGATGAGCAGGTAACTTTGTCACTTACACCTTTTGCTTCTTACATCAAGAAAAAATCCAAAAAATACATTCAATTACATAAACCCTTCTGTTTCTGTAACTGAAATCAAGACATGAGGTCAGTCTCCTTCTGTTACTTTTTGTTTCTTGGCTCGTTTTTCATTTGTTCTCCAGTAATTTCTGTTTGTATTGAAACCGTTGTTTAACGACTGAAAAATTAGGCCTTTTGTTCATTTCTAATTCTTTCTTGCTAATTTTTGCTTAGATTCAGAATTGTTTTTTTCTTTCTCAATTGCCACCCTGTTAAATCATCATTTACAAAGCTTATAAATCTGTAATATCTCTGGTTTTGTATTTAGCTTGTAGAGAGTTTCCTCTTCATGTTTTCTAATCTTAAATTTTCACATGGATACTTAGATTTCTTAATGATGAATTTTGATAGTTTATTAATTGTGCTTTAAAATTTCCCTTTATTATGTAGCACAACTCGAAGAATTGTGCTGGGTGTCTATTTTTACCGTTGTAAATTCAAGCAAGTCCCAAAACTTCAAGTGGGTATCAACCTTTAGACAGATTTCTTATGTTTGTTTGGCAAAGCTCAGTGCATTTTTTTCAGTTATAGAAATTATGGGTTTGTTCCAATATGGTGGAGTCTTGTGTTTTTGTCTTCTTCTTGTGTTCAAAACTTGTATTGCTGACTCTCAACATATTGGCAAGATATATCCTGGGTTTGAGGCATCCCACGGTGACTGGGTTGATAAGAATGGCCTATTCCTGCGATCTAACAACTCTGTTTTCGCTTGTGGATTTTACACTGCCTTGGATGCTCAGTTCTTTTTGCTGGTTGTCATTCACATTAGTAGTGCCAAAGTAGTGTGGACTGCTAATAGAGGCAAACTGATTAGAGATTCTGATAAGTTTGTGTTTGAGAATAATGGGAATGCTTATTTGCAAATGGGAAACGGTGTAGCTTGGTCCTCAAATACTACTGGACAGAAAGTTACATCCATGGAACTGCAGGACTCAGGGAACTTGGTATTGCTTGGGGACGATGGAGGTATTGTTTGGCAGAGTTATAGCCATCCCACTGATACTCTTTTACCAGGCCAGGAGTTTTCTGAGGGAATGAGGCTTAAGAGTTTTCCCAAAAGTGATAACTTGAGTGTTTATCTTGAATTTAGGTCAGGCGATCTCATCTTGTATGCCGGCTATCAAACTCCACAAACCTATTGGTCTTTGGCAAATGACAGCAGAAAAACCAATAACAGTGTCGATGGCAAGGTCTACTCTGCAGCTCTGGTGTCCAATTCATGGAATTTCTATGATCATGATAAGAAGTTGCTTTGGCAATTCGTCTTCTCTGACAATATTGATCAAAATGCTACTTGGGCTGCCGTTTTAGGTTCTGATGGAACAATTACATTTACTGATCTTCAAAAGGGGAATGCCGCTACTGCTGAGTCATTCAAGGTACCACAAAATCCATGCAGCATTCCTGAGCCTTGTAGCCCATACTATGTGTGCTATTTTGACAATTGGTGCCAATGTCCTGATCCTCTCAAGTCTCAATTCAATTGTAACCCTCCAGTTGCTTCATCGTGTGATAGTTCTAGGAATTCAGCAGAGCTTTTCTATATAGGCGAGAGGCTTGACTATTTTGCACTTGGTTTTGTTACACCCATTTCAACATACGGTCTTGATGCTTGCAAAGAGGCTTGCCTTGGTAACTGCTCCTGCTCTGCCTTGTTCTTTGAAAACAGTTCAAGGAGTTGCTATCTGTTTGATAATATAGGTAGCCTGCAACGCTCTCAGCAGGGTTTTGCTGGTTATGTTTCATATATCAAAGTCTCTACAGGAAGTGGTGACAAAAGAAGTAATGAAGGGAAAAAAATTATCTTCATTTTCTTCATAGTTCTTGCAACCATACTGATAATTGCTGGTCTACTGTATATGGGATTCTGGTATCACCTCAAAAAGAAAAGATTGATTGAATTCTCTCAAGCAAACTTGGAAGAGGATGATTTCTTGGATAGTTTATCTGGCATGCCTGTTCGATTCAGCTATAATGATCTTCATGCGGCAACTAAAAGTTTCTCTACAAAGGTTGGCCAGGGAGGGTTTGGCTCAGTCTATCTAGGTGTGCTACCAGACGGTACCCAATTGGCTGTCAAAATGTTAGAGGGCATTGGCCAGGGGAAGAAGGAGTTTCGAGCTGAAGTTAGTATAATTGGGAATATACATCATGTCCATCTAGTCAAACTCAAAGGCTTCTGTGCCGAAGGGACTCACAGGCTTCTTGTTTATGAGTACATGGCAAACAGGTCATTGGATAAGTGGATCTTCAAGGCTGACAAGGAAAGTCAGTTGATGAGTTGGGACAGAAGATTTAACATCGCATTGGGTACTGCAAAGGGATTAGCTTATCTCCATGAGGAATGTGAAGTAAAGATTGTTCATTGTGACATAAAACCTGAAAATGTTCTTTTAGATGATAATTTCAATGCCAAAGTTTCAGATTTTGGTTTGGCAAAGCTGATGAACCGTGAAGAAAGCCTTGTGTATACAACACTGAGAGGTACACGGGGGTACCTTGCACCAGAATGGATAACAAACAATCCCATTTCAGAGAAGAGTGATGTATATAGCTACGGTATGGTCTTGCTTGAGATCATTGGAGGCAGGAAGAATTATGATCCAGGGGTTGATTCAGAGAAAGCACACTTCCCTTCTTATGCATTCAAGATGCTAGAAGAAGAAAAACTAAGCGAAATCATTGATCCAAGGCTAGATGTCAATGAAAAAGATGAGAGAGTTGTCACTGCAATCAAAGTTGCACTGTGGTGCATACAAGATGAGATGCATATGAGACCGCCCATGACCAAAGTAGTCCAAATGCTTGAAGGTCTCTGTGCTGTACCTCAGCCCCCAACCCCTTCTCAGTTGAATTCTCGGGTTTACTCAGGTTTCATTAAGTGGAGCGGTGATGAGGGTACTTCATCAGGACTACTTGACGACAATAGTGGCATATTTATGTCAGATATTCAACTATCAGGCCCGAGATGATAGAAGCAGTAATGTTATACAGATGAAGATTAATCTATACTTGTAATTTTCAGCTTTCGATCATAAGAAGTTTCCTGTAATTAGCTTCCATAGCATTGTGAATTATGAAACTTCTTTGTTTTCTAATGCCTGTCTTTTTGTGCTTGTAAGTTGTAATATCTACAGAAGCTGCTTTATCCACTGTNATAGGTAGCCTGCAACGCTCTCAGCAGGGTTTTGCTGGTTATGTTTCATATATCAAAGTCTCTACAGGAAGTGGTGACAAAAGAAGTAATGAAGGGAAAAAAATTATCTTCATTTTCTTCATAGTTCTTGCAACCATACTGATAATTGCTGGTCTACTGTATGTGGGATTCTGGTATCACCTCAAAAAGAAAAGATTGATTGAATTCTCTCAAGCAAACTTGGAAGAGGATGATTTCTTGGATAGTTTATCTGGCATGCCTGTTCGCTTCAGCTATAATGATCTTCATGCGGCAACTAAAAGTTTCTCTACAAAGGTTGGCCAGGGAGGGTTTGGCTCAGTCTATCTAGGTGTGCTACCAGACGGTACCCAATTGGCTGTCAAAATGTTAGAGGGCATTGGCCAGGGGAAGAAGGAGTTTCGAGCTGAAGTTAGTATAATTGGGAATATACATCATGTCCATCTAGTCAAACTCAAAGGCTTCTGTGCCGAAGGGACTCACAGGCTTCTTGTTTATGAGTACATGGCAAACAGGTCATTGGATAAGTGGATCTTCAAGGCTGACAAGGAAAGTCAGTTGATGAGTTGGGACAGAAGATTTAACATCGCATTGGGTACTGCAAAGGGATTAGCTTATCTCCATGAGGAATGTGAAGTAAAGATTGTTCATTGTGACATAAAACCTGAAAATGTTCTTTTAGATGATAATTTCAATGCCAAAGTTTCAGATTTTGGTTTGGCAAAGCTGATGAACCGTGAAGAAAGCCTTGTGTATACAACACTGAGAGGTACACGGGGGTACCTTGCACCAGAATGGATAACAAACAATCCCATTTCAGAGAAGAGTGATGTATATAGCTACGGTATGGTCTTGCTTGAGATCATTGGAGGCAGGAAGAATTATGATCCAGGGGTTGATTCAGAGAAAGCACACTTCCCTTCTTATGCATTCAAGATGCTAGAAGAAGAAAAACTAAGCGAAATCATTGATCCAAGGCTAGATGTCAATGAAAAAGATGAGAGAGTTGTCACTGCAATCAAAGTTGCACTGTGGTGCATACAAGATGAGATGCATATGAGACCGCCCATGACCAAAGTAGTCCAAATGCTTGAAGGTCTCTGTGCTGTACCTCAGCCCCCAACCCCTTCTCAGTTGAATTCTCGGGTTTACTCAGGTTTCATTAAGTGGAGCGGTGATGAGGGTACTTCATCAGGACTACTTGACGACAATAGTGGCATATTTATGTCAGATATTCAACTATCAGGCCCGAGATGATAGAAGCAGTAATGTTATACAGATGAAGATTAATCTATACTTGTAATTTTCAGCTTTCGATCATAAGAAGTTTCCTGTAATTAGCTTCCATAGCATTGTGAATTATGAAACTTCTTTGTTTTCTAATGCCTGTCTTTTTGTGCTTGTAAGTTGTAATATCTACAGAAGCTGCTTTATCCATTGTGAAATTTAGTCTTCATTTTGTGTGCAATCTCAAGGGGGAATTCCAAGTCTTCTTTCTTGAGTACTTCGAGGATAATCTTGAACATTAGTGAAAGATGTAATAGCAAGTTTTTGTGTAAGATCAATGTTAGATGTGTATGATGCCAAGTTTCTTTCATTTTAAGTCCAGGGGATTCTATATGATACATTTTGCCTGACAACTAGCCATCTCATATCTAATAGCCCAAAATCTTGTACATTTGTTCATAATATTTTGTCTATTTAGCCCCAGAAATTCTCCTCCAACTTCGCATACATTTCAGGATTTAAGTAAAATACACAAAGAAAGAAAAAAATAATAATAATCAACATAAAAATTGTGTTAGTTCTTTAATAGTCAACCTTGTTGCCTATCAACCATCCTTAGGTGACCGAATGGGAAGATAGAGACTCTAGAATATATTACTCAAAATGTCTTAAGTTTGATTCTTCTCAGTTGTCAATAAGAATAACCACTTCGAAGCTCTAAAGGATTAGTGAGATGCGTGCAAACTGGTCTGGACACCCCCAATCAAAAGACCTAAAAAAAAAAAAAATCCGTGTTGCCTATCAATGCTTTCCCTTTCTCTTGCAATATGCCTTTATATATTTCATGACCAAATGAGGGTTGTGGATTACAAACTTCTGATAAACTAGAATCTGGATTAATATTATGTTCATAAGGCTTTGATATATAATGATGGGAATTTTCTTTTGTTAATAATGAGATGTCATCCTTGAAACAAGAGACTGCAAGCAAGATATTCGATCGTGTATGGAGTTATTTTGGTTTTGTTTTTATATTATACTTTTATCCGTAATTCTTTTCAATTCCCAAAATAGTTCATGTGAAAATAAAGAACACTATTGTTTAATTAAGAAGTATCAAAAATTGTTTTAAGGTAAAAGGAAAATTTATGGGAATATATTGAAAAAAATCTGTCTGTCCATACGACAATGTCACCACACATGATGTTGTTGTATTAACAAATTTCGATATTCCTTTGAATGAGCTGCCAACGTTAAAGGAATACCATTACTCTAAGGCGGACGACGTCGAGCTATGGAATTCAAATGCAAACACCCATGTCGTGTCAATGTATCAAAATTACATCGACGATAGGCTTCAACATTGGGTTTGACAACGATGTATAGCCAAATCACCATTAGGTGATTGAGTAGTCATTTATGACTTTTAGGTATATTATTCAAAATGTCTTGACTTTGATTCACCTTAATCTCTAATAGAGATGATCATTAGGTCTTTTATCTGACCGGTTAGGTCTTTTTAACTGATGAATTATAAATATAAATAATTTACCATGTTGTATTATATTGGATTATATCAAACTATAGGGGTTCTCAAGGGATATTTTAGATTGTTTTGGTTAGACTTTCTGCTCTAGATGGGATTATTTAATATGTCTTTATGTACAGAGTAAGATATGGTGGGCTAACGGCAATATGACACATTTAGATATACGAGTTAGGTCCACATTTAAGTCCGGCTTGATTGTAATGGACGTTAAAGAGAAATAGACTGTTAGAGGGCTGGAATGATATTTCACATGTATACATTAAACGTTTTGGTGATTGTCATTGCCTTTCTCTCACTCTAAATATACACAGAAGAGATTTCCATGCTTAATTTTGGTCATCATCATTGATTGAAAATTATTATACAATTTAATAGCAAATTAGAAATTATATTTTATAATATTTAAAAAATAATCATGACATAGTTTATGTAGAACACAAACATCAAGAGATAAATGGTAACAACCTCTATTTTAAAACCTGGACCGGACTAGCCAGTTGGATCAGTCCTACTGGGAACCGACAGTCTCTCCAATTCGGTTTAGGTTATAGGGGGTTTTTTGTTATACTTCAAACTTATAGGGACTAATGAATTTTTTAGGGGTGTTTTAAACATTTCAAAATATTAGGGACTAATTAAATTATTGGGAATTTTGAAATAAATTAAAATTTCAAGGACTACTTTATAAGTTTTGTAGGGGTATTTTGGTAATAAACTAAAATTTAAAGAACTAATTCAATTTTTTTTAAATATTTTTGTTTCTAACATCACTGGTTGAATCGATCAACCAGTGACCCAATCACCTTACTAGATCTCACAACAGGTCGGGTTGTAAAACAATGGTGACAACTAGTACCAGAGATTTGCTCAAAGATACTGCGATCAAAATTCTATTAAAGTTGCCTGTGAAATCCTTTATGTTTAACATGTGATATTGTATAGAATAATATTGTATACGGGCTTTGATGGAGCCCCATTATTGAAACCAATTAAACTATATTCTAAGGTTATGATCAACATGTGATATTGTATAGTATGACATTGTATTGTATTGTATAGAATTAAATAATATTATATGAAATATAGTAGGATGTTTGGTACATTATTATATTGTATTAATTTATCATTAACTTCAATTAAAATTTTAACGAGTATTCAATGAAATTTAATAATTCATTTAAAAACTTAATTCTTTTTATTGTTAACTAAATTTATATTAGTTACTATAAAAATTACATAAGAAAATAAATTATATAATACAATAAATCTCTTAACCCACTTGTTGGGTCTTTGGGCTTGTATGTTTGGGCCCGAGGACGACATAAGCCTAGCCTATCTCATTTGAGATTAATGGTCAATGAAAGTCAATAGATTCAATGAATCTGTCTAGTGTAGTTTAGGACGCTTTAAAGACTATTCCAATTCCCTCCCCTCCCTTTTCATTAGCTTTCAACAAATATTAAACAATGGGAAAGAATCAATGACCACGTTGATATAATATTGATGTTCGTTGAATCCAAACACATGGTAGGTGGGATTGCTTTGAATTCTTGAGCCGACACGATTTTATCTTGAAAATACACCTTCGGGTTTATGAAAGTGTCATTATGCTATATAAGCAACTAAAACCCTCATCTCCTAGCCAATGTGAAAGTTTGACATCATTATATAACATTACTCATATTTTATTATGTCATTGTATTGCATCACTTTTGTATGTATAATATTAGGTCCGTTTGGCAAACTCTTCTCCCACTATCCTATCCTAAAAACTCAAAAATGCATTTGTTTTAATATTCTTCAAAATTTAATCATATTTTATTCAATTCAAAACATTTTACTTTTTTCAATAAAAGTTTTAAAATTATCAAAAACACTCCACCCACCCATTTCTTAGCCATAGTTGACGATTAGGCCATAGATCTCCCTGTCAACAACAAGGAAGATATGGTCGTCAATGACCATAGAATGATTCTTTAAGTCAATTAGTTTTGTAATCAAACTTTTGATATTATTTTTGTTATTTGAAAAAGAATATGATCTAAATATATAGTTAATTTCAGGTATAATAAATACCGTAGTATTTGTGAATAACAGGATGTATAGTATAGTTGTTGAGTTTATTATTCACAAATACTATTGAGTGCTTAATTTCAACAATTTTTTTCTTTAAAACAAATGAGGATCCTTGGATGGATAGTAATGGTTGTTGAGTGCTTTACCTAACAATTTGCAAGTTCCGTCCACTTTCCTTCCCCATTTCTTCAAATATACAAGCAAGACGCAAGTGCAAACTCAGCCCTTTTGTCCTTCATCTCTTATTAAATTTACATAAAAAGCACTAAAGCTATATAATGAATAAAAGACCAAGCCAACCGAGATGAATTTTAATGTAAACAAAGACTTATGTCGGATAACTTTATATTTTAAATCAAAAGAGAAATCCTAAGAACACAGTACAACTCTCCCTCTGCATAATACCCTTTTGTTCCTGTCAGTGAATCAACAAGTTAATGAGGTCAGTCACCATGATTTTGAACTTTTTCTTGTAGTTGTTTATAGTTAATACTGTTTGTTTGCCGCTTTGATTTTCATACATTAGATGGTTTATATGATTTGATTTTGAATACAGAGTGCCAATACGCCGCTTTCTTTACATATTTTGTAATCTTTGCTATGTAAAAAAAACCTTCACTTGAACCTTTAGCTGGTTTCTTTTGTATCAGTCTTTAAAGTTTTTTGTGTCTCAGTGATTGTTAATTCGTAGTATATATTCCAGAAGTAAAAAATTTGTGATTATTTAGCAATTTTTCAATGTAAATTTGAATAGGTTCACTGATACTTTTAGTGCGTATCAATTTTTAGACGGATTTGTCATTAATTAACAAAGCTTGGTGAGTTTATGAGGTAGAAATTATGGGTTTCTTCCAATGTGTTGGAACCTTTTGTTTATGTCTAGTTCTTGTGTTGAAAACCTGTACTGCTGGCTCTCCACATATTGGCCAGATGTATCCTGGGTTTGAAGCATCCGCAAAAGAATGGAGCAATAATAATGGGAGATTCCTGCTATCCAACAACTTGATTTTCGGTTTCGGCTTTTCCCATGCCTTGAATGATACACTTTCTTTGCTGGTTGTCAAACACATTAGCAGTGGAAGAGGGGTTTGGACTGCTAATAGAGGCAAATTGGTTGAAGATTCTGCTAAGTTTGTTTTTGACAAAAGTGGGAATGTTTCCTTGCATTGGGGAAATGATGTGGTTTGGTCTCCTGATACTTCTGGAGAGAAAGTTGCATCGATGGAATTGTGGGACTCGGGCAACTTTGTGTTGCTTGGGAACAGTGGGAGTATTCTTTGGCAGAGTTTTAGCAATCCAACTGATACCCTTTTACCTGGACAGGAATTCTCGGAAGGAATGAGACTTGAAAGCCGTCTGAACAAAGATAATATGAGAGTTTACCTTGAGTTCAAGTCTGGTGATTTGGTTTTGTATGCAGGGTATCAAACTCCACAAACCTATTGGTCGTTGGCGAATGAAAGCCGCAAAACCAATAACAGTGTAGGTGGTAAGATTCAGTCTGCCATTCTGGAGTCTAATTCATGGAATTTTTATGATCAGAATAAGGCCTTGCTTTGGAAATTCATCTTCTCTGAAAATACTGATGGAAATGCTACATGGGCATTGATTTTAGGCTCTGATGGGGTAATCATATTTTCCAATCTTCGAAAGGGAAGCACATCTATTCCTGAGGCAATCAAGATACCACAGAACTTTTGCAGCACTCCTGAGCCTTGTGGCCGATATCATGTCTGTTATTTCTTTAATCAATGCCGGTGCCCTGCATCTCTCAACTCTCGTTTCAATTGCAAACCTCCGATTGCTTCAACCTGTAATAGCTCCCGGAATTCAACAGAGCTTTTTTTTGTTGGCACGAAGCTTGATTATTTTGCACTTGCGTTTGTTTCACCCATATCAAGATACAGTCTTGACACTTGCAGAGAAGCTTGCCTTCGTAACTGCTCATGTTCGGTGCTGTTCTTTGAAAATCATAGTGGGAATTGCTTTCTATTTGACAGCATAGGTGGTTTTCAACGTCCTCTGGACGGTTCTACTGGTTATGTTTCATATATGAAGGTCTCTCGTGCAAACGCTGGGGTAGATCCTAGAACTGAAGTAGGTGGGACTCGACGGAAACATATCCTCTTAGTTGTCCTAATAACTATTTCCACCATTCTAGTAATTTCTGGTATTCTTTATGTCGGAATCTGGTATTACCGCGGGAAGAGAACATCAGTGGAAATTTCTCAAGAAAACTTTGAAGAGGATAGTTTCTCAAACAATTTTTCTGGTATGCCTGTTCGTTTCAGTTATGATGACCTTTGTAGAGCAACTAAAATCTTCTCTATAAAGGTTGGTCAAGGAGGTTTTGGCTCTGTCTATCTGGGGACACTGCCTGACGGTACTCAATTGGCTGTTAAAAAGTTGGAGCGCATCGGCCAGGGGATGAAGGAGTTTAGAGCTGAAGTAAATATATTTGGGAATGTACATCATATTCATCTAGTCAAACTCAGAGGCTTCTGTGCCGAAGGGCCACATAGGCTTCTTGTTTATGAATACATGGAAAATGGATCTTTGGATAAATGGATATTCAAGATCAATAAGGAGAACCAGTTCCTGAGTTGGGACACAAGATTTAACATCGCATTGGGTACTGCAAAGGGATTAGCTTATCTCCATGAGGAATGTGAAGCAAAGATCGTTCATTGTGACATAAAACCTGAAAATGTTCTTTTAGATGATAATTTCAACGCCAGAGTTTCAGATTTTGGTTTGGCAAAGCTGATGAACCGTGAAGAAAGCCTTGTATATACAACACTGAGAGGTACACGGGGATACCTTGCACCAGAATGGATAACAAACAGTCCCATTTCAGAGAAGAGTGATGTATATAGCTACGGTATGGTCTTGCTTGAGATCATAGGAGGCAGGAGGAATTATGATTCAGGGGTTGATTCAGAGAAAGCACACTTCCCTTCTTATGCATTCAAGATGCAAGAAGAAGAAAAACTAAGCGAAATCATTGATCCGAGGTTAGATATCAATGAAAAAGATGAGAAAGTTGTCACTGCAATCAAAGTTGCATTGTGGTGCATACAAGATGAGATGCATTTGAGACCACCAATGAGCAAAGTAGTCCAAATGCTTGAAGGTCTCTGTGCTGTACCTCAGGCCCCTACGCCTTCTCAGCTGAATTCTCGGGCATACTCAGCTGGTATTAAATGGAGCAGCGATGATGGTAATTCATTGGAACCACTTAATGAAAATTGCGGTGCACCTTTCTCAGACGCCTAACTATCATGCCCGAGATGATAGAAGCTGTAACTGTATGTATAATTTTTTCATTGTGCTTATAAGTTATTTCTCATGAAACTGCTTGAATTTCACCATTAGGAAAAATTAGTCTCTCCTTCTGTGAAAATTTTCTATAGATATAATTACTATCTGTTCTAGTTGTGTTTTTTTTATAAAAGACCAATCAATCTCTGATCTAAATTGCATGCTGAAACTCAAAAGACATTCTGTTCTTTCTTTATTAAGTATCCTGGGTAGATTAGTAGTTTTGAAAATTTGCAACAGATTTAACGCTTAGATTCCCAAGAATATATTTTAGGAAACAAAAGGTTTCAATTCCTAAAATGGATTTCAATTCCTAAATTAAATGTATTTTTAAATTCCTACTAAGGAAAATATGATTATAGTATAATTTTCCTTTTTCTATAGGATTTGGAGGTTCATATCCATTACTATAAATTTAGGGTCATTGCATCCACAACCCACATCTTATTTCAAGAATTCTTCACTGATGAATCTCTTGAACTCTCAATCAATTCATTCAATGGCTTCGTCTCAAGCTAGTCTTCTTCTCCAGAAACAACTGAAAGATCTGAACAAACACCCTGTCGAGGGCTTCTCCGCCGGCTTATTGAACGAGAACAACGTATTCGAATGGAGTGTTTTGATCATGGGGCCTCCTGGAACGCTATATGAAGGAGGTTTCTTCAGTGCAATAATGAGTTTCCCTTCAAACTATCCCTGCAACCCGCCAACTTTGAAGTTTACTTCAGAGATCTGGCATCCGAATATTTACCCTGATGGGAAAGTTTGCATATCGATTCTTCATCCTCCGGGAGACGATCCGAATGGCTATGAAGTTGCAGCTGAGCGATGGAGTGCCGTGCACACTGTTGAGAGTATTATTTTGAGTGTTATTGTGATGCTTTCTGACCCGAATGTTGAATCTCCGGCCAATATCGATGCTGCAAAAGAATGGAGAGAAAATAGGGAGGTTTTTAAGAAGAAAGCTGCTCGTTGTGCTAGAAAATCAGAGGATTTGTTCCTTAGCCTTTAATTCTTTTTCTTTCCTGTAAAATTTTAGAATTAACATATGATGTTTATTATCAAATTTTATTCAAGAATCTTTAGTTAATGTTATTAATAAATTCCATTAGATCGGGTGAATTTAATTTCTGGGAATATGGAAGAAAGCGTATGAAAAGCTACAACTAAACTAAGCCGGCAATTTTTATTTTTTTTTTCATTAACTCCATCCACTGATTGAGAAGTTGTGATCAATCAATCCCAAACTTGTATTCTTTATATTTAAAATTTTTGATGCACTATCTCTTTTCAACCTTTGAGCTAAACGCAATCAAAAGAAGGAAATTTATGGATTCGGTCCATAGTCATCTATTTAAATAAACTACGAGATCACCCTAAAGAGACGTTTGGTCGGAAGTTATTTCCAATTATTGAGGTGACGTCATTTTATATGTTTTTTTTTTTTTTTTCTTTTTTGGTAAGTATGTCATCTTATATATTATTTCCTATTATTAAGGCAATATCATCTTATATATTATTTCCCAGTATTAAGGTAATGTTATCTCATATGTTATTTTCTATTACTTAAATTATCACGTTTGGTTGTTAAGTAATATAAAATTCTAGTAATCTTTCAAAACTAATAATAATTACTGTTGGTTATATAGGTGATAATCTGAATACCACTATTTTTTGATGCATTTTGTGACTATTTGGTAATCTTATTTTTGTTACAATTTTACCCCATATTAAAAAAAAATAGGACAATAATACCTTTATTTTGAAATTAATTTACATGAACCTGTCATTACAATTTTACCCCTAATTAATTAAGTTTTTTAGAGTAATACCCTTGTATTTAAAACAAATTGCAGGCCACCCAGGACCACCGTCGCCTACCAACCACCACCGCTGGTTGATGTCATCGGAATGGTACACGATCAATCGGATCTAGCCGATCGTGTGCTGATCTGACTGTTTTCGACTAGATCGATGATCATTTCTGGCCAAATCTATTGCCCATGGTCGGTAGGATCTATGGCGCATGACCGGCCAAATCCGATCGGTCGTGCCCCGTTTCGACCACTGCCACCACAACCGATGGTGGTGGCCAATGGCTGGCAGTGGCTTGGGGTGGGTGGGGGTGATTTTGTAAGAAATTAAACTTTTATGTGGCTGTGGTGTTTTAGCAAAATCTCAAATGTAGGGGGCTAAAAGAAATGATTCAAAAAATAATAGTAAAAATGATATTATATTAATATTTAAAATGGAGGGCAATTTAGTAATTTACATAACATACTCACAACTTTATTCCTCCCCCCAATTTATTCCAACCGAATCAAACACATTTCTCTAAACATTCCCAGTAATCTTCAAGGTAATCTATCTTTCCATTAAATGAGCGTTTGGATTGTGGGTATATAAGATAACATGGGTAATCTTCGTTTATTTTGCAAGATTCCGGTGTTTGGTTTGCAAGTAATAAAATATTACGAGAATCTTTTATTACAAATAGTGTTTATTGTCAGTAATGTGGGGGGTAATCTGATACCCTCCCCCACCCCTGAGATGATTTTTCTACTCATTTTGTCCTTAATTAAAAACTATTTTGGACAGAATTACCCTCAAATATCTACCAAATAGCTAGCCCCCCTACATTTGAGAAATTAACTAAAACACCCCAGCCACAAAAAAGTTAAAAAGTTAACAAAACACCCCCAGCCACCGAAGACCACTGCCGGCCGCCGACGTCAGTCATCGTAATGGTGCACGACCCACGGGATCTGGTCGGTCATGCATCGGTAATGCATTTTTCGGCCATGGATTCGTGATCTGTGGCTGGAAACGGCTAGATCTGCCGTTTCTATGGCCATTTTACGGCCATATCTTTGGCTATACAGTAGCTAATGTTCATCCACATGACAAACAGTTAAATTAATCGTTTAAACATAATTAATTTTACATAAATATGATTTGGGTTTGTTTTTGTTTTTGTTTTTGTTTTTGTTCAATTGTTTAGGGTGAGAGAAATTGGGAAAATATGGATTTATGTAAGTAGGATAATTGTGCAATTAGGTGAAATATAAGGGTATTAGTGAAAAGTAAATATATATTATATATTATATACGCCGGGGGAAAGGCATCACCCACCCCCGCCTCATCCCTGAGGACGGGGATTAAAACGCCCCCCACCCCTGCCCCTATCCCCAAAAAAATTGGGGCTTCCCTGCCCCATATGGGGTGGGCAGGATAGGTCCCCGGAATTCTGAGGGCCATTGCCATGCCTATTCTTAAATCAGCATTCTTCCTATTTTCTTCCAAAACAACAAAAAGTTTACATAGGATGTGATTCCACCTCAACACTCTGAGATCTTGAGAAAAGTTGCCCTGTATTCTTTCTATTACTAAAATTTAACAGTAGAAAAATAGTGTAATTATGTGGGACATTAGGAGACTCTAGATAAACTTCAAGAAAGATACTTAACCGTAAAAAGTATTACTACAAGTGTGTGATGGATATTCATTTATTCCCCTACCAATTCAACACTGCATAAACTTTTTGTATCAATTTGGCAATGTGATGAAAACAGTAACATCATCAACTTGACATTTTTCAGTGTATTATTAAGGCCAATCCACATAGGCCAAACTTGAAAAGTTCAAAAGCCAATTTTTCACATATAGAATGTTAAAAGTAATGTGAGATGCGGTACTAAAGGTCCAATAGTAATTCAAATCAGACCCTACAATAGCCCCACCTATTTACCAACAAACACTCTGATAATAAATAGATTAGATGGTTCATTGATGACATTAATTCTCTATCTCAGCAGCTCCATACCTAATCATAACTTCAGAGCAGAAGACGACAACAACATCAATATATATATTACACGATCGTTATCTAACTTATCCTGATATCATAAATAAAAAAAAGTATAATTGACCCATCAAAACTTGAAGGAATGCACCAAAAAATATCAAGATACAAACAGAGAAAATCAATTTCTCTTATGAAAGAGAGAGCGAGATTTGTTTGGCATAAAGTCACCTACCCTGGCTTTTCTGCATTTAAAGATATTATATTTGTATATGTTAAAAGAGTTATCGGATTCTCAATTTTTCAATGTAAAGTACACCGACGCTTTCTTTAAGTGAAGATAAACTCATTTTAGCAAACAGCGACTCATGTTAGCAACATCCAAACTGATGTTGTTTATAGCATTTTTTGACCGATTCCAAAATTTAAAATCACTTTCAAGACTATCATTAGATTTTCAACAATCTTTTCTAAAAACTCATACTTTCACTTATCAATCTCACTCACCATTGTTTATATTCACTAACAATGTTAATTTAAAAATAATAGTCCAAAATAAGTAGTATCAATAACAAATTTTGCTAAATCTCATATGAAAATATATCGTATACTCTTTCAAGAAATTACTAGTTTGGTAAGACGACTATTATGAAATGAGTCATTACAATCTAAATACTTTTGACTTAATGAATAGGGATTCAGAGAGACATGAGGAAATGAATTGGTTCTTGCATATTCAATCTGAAATCTGTTTCCTTTTCTGATTAATTTTGAAAATTTTCATCATCTAATAGACACCATATTTCACATATCTCCAATCTATAAAGGAGAGTTGTATTAATCCAAGTGACATATGCACACCTCTAATTGTCAGATGGATGCATATGTGTCAGTGTATGGAAGACTATCATCTCTAGCAATCAAGTTTTCTGCAATCACACTCTTCCAGGACAGAGAATTCCATTCAACACGTAGGGGAACCTGACAACCCTCATACATTAGATTTCTTCATTGCATAAGTACAAAAAAGATGTAAAAGCAAGTACTCTTTCACATTTTTACATATTTATGCTCCGTAAATATACAGTAAGTTGCAGTCAGCAAGTTACCTCTACTATTTCTCTTACCATTTTTCGGTTGCTGATATGTTATTTGGCTAGTTACAACTCCAGCTAGTGTTTAAAACATCTTTATGATCTTCAAGAAGCAGCAGTTAAAGGAAGGTAGTGACGAGCTCCATGGAAGAAGTTTGGTGGAGACATACGGCTGTGGTCACTTCCATCTTCATCCTGTTCTTTTTCTTCTTCTTCTTCTTCTTCTTCTTCAGCATCCCACAGAAATTTAGCATATGATGCAAGCACATAACTGCAACAAAATTGAAACGTTCCACATCAAATTTCAGCCATATCTACAGATGAAAATGTGAATTAAGAGTTTGATCAAACAATTACCAATCATCCGGGGCAGTTTTGACAGCTTGATCAAAGTAAACTTCAGCTCTGTGAGCATCTTTATGTGATTGCCATATCAAATCAGCATAGAGTGACAAGACATTTCCATCACTTGGGTTAGCCAAAATTGCTCTTCCACAGAACTCCTCAGCTTTAGCAAAATCTCCTCTAGCCTTCTCATCACCAAAAAAATAAATAAATAAATAAAAAATCCCACTAGAACTCTGATCGCATACCAAAAGATTAAATTAAGAATAAAAAGATTTTATCTTATTTACCTCTTTCAAGAACTTGGCATAGTTTCCTAGCAAAAGTGCATTTCCAGGATTTGCCTCGATCATTTTCTGATAATAGGCATCAGTACTATTACTCTTATTATTCTCAAAGAACCCAGAACCACCACCATCACCATCACCCCCACCACCAGCACCGTCTCTACTACCACCACAAATTTTCCCACCATTACTCCCCATACCACCACCCATCACCATAGTTTGTAAAACGCTATCTTCTTCCAACCCACCTCCTTCTTTATTATCATCGTCATTCACAAGAAGTTTCTCTCCCAAACCAGAACTCGAAAACAGTCTTTGAATTCTTGGACTTGGTAATATTTTCTCTTCATCAAGCTCTTTACTAGATGGCGGAAAGATGTTCTTTTTCCGCTTTGGCAGGTCCGGCGAAGCTGTTAAAAGCTTCTTCGTTGAGTGATCATCAGTGGATTGCGGAGACCACTGAAATGGTGAGTTTGATAAAGAAACTGACTTGGTTCTTTGTAAAACCTGAAATTCCGGCTCCGGTGAAGAGTCTTTACTGCACTTGGGCAGCCACGAATTCAAAATTGGTGTAGATGAGCTTCTCAGAAGCATGACTAAAAAAGTGGTTTTGAAATAAGCAGTTTCGAGAGGAAGCACTTATGGGAAGTGAGAAGACGGTGTTGAGTGAAGAGAGCAACAAAATACAAGTTGTGAGGAGACTGAGGAGGGTTTTATATAGAGTAAGAAGAAGAAATCTGGGCCGTTGGATTAAGCCAAATGATAAGTGAAAAAAACAATACCGATAGTACAGATGTGTTCGTATGTGCTGTCATTTCTGTATAAACCCACCTATCAAACATGGAACTGTAAGCTGCATCCGGCCTCTAATCAAGTGACACGTTTCATGATTCGGGGGAGATGGGCCCGCCATGGGGAGGTTGATTTATTAAGGGTTTTGTCTTGTTGGAGAGAATGGACGGTGGAAGATTGGTATTGGTAAATGACAGAAATAATAGAACTGTGTGTATGTGATAAAGATTGAAGTGAAGCTGGTAATTGTACTTCCCAACCGGAGACTGACACGTTGTAGGGTTCGAAAGATGATTAGAAAAGGACTAGCCATGAGTTTGCAGTTTACTTTACAGTTGAGATGTAGTAGTGCCCACACCACACCCACCACTTCCATTTATCAACACTAGAACAACTTTGTTTTCTTTCATAATCCATAGTTTTCTGCATTCGTTTTCAGAGTTCATCGAGCCTATTACAACAGAGAATTAATTTACAGGGCATAAATTTTCGTCACATGTCCTGTGGGTGTGACTATGCAAATGGAGAATGAGCTCTTGTCACATGTTATGTGATGATGCATTTGTCCATCGTATGTAACACTAAAAACAGATTACTTTATTTGTAAGACTGTCATAAATTGTTTCAACAGTAAAGTTTAGGATTAAGCTGTCATCCAGATCACGTATCACCTGATGAGATGACTACTTCACTAATAAGTCTCTAATAAAGGGTAGTTTATCAAGCCACGTGTAGTGTAATGAGAAGGTTGTTTCATGAGCAAAACCATTAATGCAACAATATAAATAGAGGTCTCTCACGCCAAATGAAATAAGGGATCCCAAAATTTCATTTTCTCAATAGCTAAGAGTGATTGTCTTACTCGAGAGTAAATAGTTTTTGTAAACACATAAAAAAACACACAACAAAAGCAATAAAATAATAGTGGACGTAAGACTTGCATCTTGTATCTGAATTACTTTAAAAATTCCTTTTGTCTACTCTTTCTATACATTATTATTATTATTATTACTCATTGGTTCAGCATTATATTTCGTTTAACATCATATTTTTCGGTCTCCTTCATTTTTCCTCGTCACCAAGCAATCGGTGACCTTTCTATAGAATTAAGAACAGTTTTTGCAATTATCTCCATCAATGGACAAGGACGAGGATGGAATATCTGGTATATTTGTCGTCCATAGTGACACAATATTATATGTAGCTTGTGTAATAATTCTATTTTCCAAGCTTAAATCAACACTTATAAATTCTCAAAAAATAAATAGAAAAATAATTTTCAACTTGCAATCGTAGATAATGCCACTTGCCAGCCGCAATAAGTCATATTAAGCTGTTTCCACCAAATTAAGCATGCTTATCGCTATCGTGACATAAAATAATTAATAATGCAAACATCAACTCCCACTAAGGAAGCATCATATATTATATTATACACCCAAATAAAGAAATATGATGATATCATAGTTTACATCTTCAAATATCATATATTCCTTATCTATTCATTGGATTGCAAATAGGAATTTACAAATTTCATATTTAAAAATACTCATCACTCTTTGTAGAATTATTCACTTCAATCTCTTTTTTTTTTTTTTTTTTTTATAACGGAGGTGTTCAATCCAGTTTGCGCGTATCTTAACTAATCCCTGGAACTCATTAACTTTATAAGCTTAATGTTCCAAGTAGTAAGTCATAAATGTGATAGGTAACCCTAATGTGGTTTGAACCTAAGAAATCAATAAAATGAGTAAACTTTCTTAACTATTAGACCAGAACTGTTCATCTCAATCTTCGTCACCTCTAAATTTTGATATCATTATTGATTAAATATTATAGGAAAACCATTTTTTATAAGAGAATAATAATACTAATTAAAAGTATGGTGTGTCCATATGGATGAGACCAATATAAAATATTAGCACAAGTTGCAGAAAAGTCAATATTGTTTGACATAAAAAAATGATGGGATAAACGAAAGAGAAGAAACAGAGGCATCATTCTCATCTTTGTCGCATTGCAGATAATCAGATACCCGGATGAGTTTGACTCATTCTATGAAGAAAATAAGAAAAATAATAATAATTTTTTAGATAATGAAATGGCTGATGCTGAGAGAATGAGAGTGATGTGTAGTGGGTATGTTTGGATTAAGAATATCTTTTTGTCTATTATGTAGTCTCCAAGTCAAATTTGATGTTAAGAGGATCTAAATACATCAAATTTGAAATAGAATTAATTCTTATTTGAATGATCAAATACAGTAAAAAAATATTGTTCAAAAAATGATGAAATAAACAAAATTTTAAAATATTTATTCTTAAAAGAATAAGTATATAACTTTTTGTGTGTGTAAATAGCTATAACTAGAGGTGAAATTGAGTCGAGTATTTGGCTACTCGAACTCGACTAGATTACTACAGTACTCGAGTATATGAAATCAAGTTCGAATTCGAGTCTGATTGAGTCTGAGAAATCAAGTTCGAATTCGAGTCTGACCGAGTCTGAGAAATCAAGTTCAAACTTGAACTCCATACCTAAAATTAGAATTCAAGTTCGAATTCAAACTCATATAATCGAGCTTAATCAAGTTTTAATCGAGCTTTTCGAGTCGAGTTGTACAGTGATTGAACTCGACTCCAATTAATATTCAAGTTATTCAAGCGAGCAACTTGGCTCGGTTTTCACCCTAAGCTTTACCATTGGGGAAAGGAAAAAAAAGAAGAAAACTTGGTTTTGTTTGCTAGTAGGGGTGGGATAATCTGGTTAACCAAACTAGATTGGGAAACCGAACCAATTATTCGGTTTAGACAAAATACAAACTGAAATTGGACCGGTTTATGGAATAAACTGATTGTAAACCGAACCAAATATTCTGTTCGGTTAACCGGTTTTCAAATTCACCCCTAATATTCTTCAATTTTTGCATTCAAAACAGGCGAGCAGCTAAGGATTGCAGATCTGAATGACGATGGAAACTGGAGCTACGGTTGACTGTTGTGACTTCGTTATTATTCCTAGTTCAAGGAATAGATCCAGCGCAACACAACAACTGTGGACTGTGGTCTATGGGTGAGTGGGTGGTTGTTGCGGTGATGTTGTGGACTATGGACTGTGGGTGAATGGGTGGTTGCTTTGAACTACAGCGCAGCAACTGTGGACTATGGTCGTCGCTGGTGAGTGGGTGGTTGTTGTGGTGAATGGTGATGCTGGGTGTCGGCGAAATGGATGCTGGATGGATTTGGAGTTTGAGTTTGGTGATGGCCTGATGGGTGTGAGTGGCGCTGTTGGCGCATTGCGAAGATGGAGTTTGTTCTGGAGTGTGGAGACTGGAGGCGGAGAAGAGAAATAGAGAATAAGAGTAAAGAGATGAGATATTGCAAAACATAAAGGCGAAATAGAGAATAAGAGTAAAGAAATGAGATATTGCAAAACATAAATGCAAAAAAATCAAAACACATTTTGCTTATATACATAGGTAAAACCGGTTTGGAAAATACAATGTTTTAAAACTTGGCCCGAACCGGATAGTTCAACAGGGACCTGACTGATGAGCCGAGCCGGGTGAGGCTTAAACCCGTTATTATGAGTCTACCTAGTTGCACCCATGGTTGGACCGACGCACTGTAGCACCCACCGGTCCAACCGTTATTTTTAAAAAAATTGGGTCAGCTAATTTAAAGAATTAAACATTTAAACCCATATTATATAAATTAAACAGTTAAACCCCCCATTTCTCTCACTTTTGGTCTAAAACTGAAATCTTCCATCGGAGTCTCCCCTTCACCATCGAATGTCGTCACTTTTGCCTTCACCGTCAACTGCTTAGTTCGTTGTCAGTTGAGGTACCGCAAATCTCCTCCCATTTTGCGATCTTCTTTGTCCTTTCTTCACTTTTCTTCACCGCTGGTCTACTCTGTTCATCTGTCATCGTCAATCTCGGAGCTACACTGTCGTTCTCGTCTTCTTCTTGCCCTAGAACTGTCGCCTCTTCCTCACATTTGCTTGATCTCAACAGTCAGCTCTTCACACTTTCACAACACAGTTGACACTATTCACAGTCGAGCTCCATGTCTCCGACAATCAACTATCAATGGCAGCTCATCTTCACCGGCACCAGGTAACTGTCGCCTTACTAATGTACATTCCAGCAACAAACCTTTAATTTTTTTTTATTAATTGCTTTCCTTGGATATTTGGTCAAGTAGTTCGAAGAAGTGCTTGAAGTTTCCTTTCAAAGTTTCGATTGAGCTAAAAATAATGAGTAGAATGTAGCTTGTGTTGAATTTTAATATTTTGGGATGTTTGCTACACATAGAAATGAGTTGTGATGTCGTTGTTTTTGAAGAGCGGATGAAGAAAACTTTATGAAATGGGCAGAATGAGAAGTGTTGAATGTTGAGACTTACATGTTAAAAATTTGGATGGGTAACCTCATTGAGTATGAGTTCTAATTGGATATCAAATTTTAGCACTTTTGTTTATGTATATGTATGAAATTATAAAGGCATTGTTGGTGGAATTGCTTTTAAATAGGCTGATAGATTTAAATTAAAGATGTTGACTTCATGGAAATTGACGGGTTAAGGTTGTTGGAATTTCAAATTTTTTTTTTTTTTTTTTTTTTGTAGGTTAAATAAAAAGGGGTCAATGATGATGAATGAACACTAACTTATTATGAATTAATCAAACATATTGAATCTTTAATTTAATTTATGAAGATATTTTCAATTATGATTGATACTAACTTATTTGTTATTTGTCTCGCCAGGATAGAGATTAAGATTAAAAGCAAAGAATATGTCATCATCTAGGTCTTGTCAACAATCTGATTCCATGGATGTTTCACAATTATTTCAAGGAAGAAA